AGCAACTTGGCGAGACCTCATCACTACAATAAATCAAAAACTAGCTGGGCATGGTAGTGTGCGTCTGTAGTTCTAGCTACTTGGAAGGCTGAGGAAGAAGGATCACTGGAGCCTAGCAGGTCGAGGCTGTGGTGGCTGGGAGCGGCCACTGCACTCCAGTCTGGGTAACAGAGTGAGACTCCAACTCAAAAAAAAAAAAAAGAAAGAAAGAAAGAAATAGCTGTTTAAACTTCAAAGGAATAAGATCATGAAATCCAAGAACAGCCTGAGGAAATGTTCATGAGAGCAGGAATTCCACAGTTGTTTTGGGGTTATGTAGGAAAACATTTTATTTGTAAAAAATACATAGTTAACTGTTAACGAGTGGGGCTATGAAGGTATTTGAAAGAGTTCAGGAAAATGTAGTATATTGTACAATATTTAAAATCTTTCTGTAAGTGTAAAATAGTTTTAAATTTCACAAAAAATTGCATTTCCTTTTTTTGTTTTTTGAGTTGGAGTCTCACTCTGTCACCCAGACTGGAGTGCAGTGGCCGCTCCTGGCCACCACAGCCTCGACCTGCTGGGCTCCAGCGATCCTTCCACCTCAGCCTTCCAAGTAGCCGGAATTACAGGTATGCGCTACCAACCCGGCTGATTTTTTGATTTATTGTAGAGATGAGGTCTCGTTGCCCAGGAGGGTCTCGAACCCGTGGGCTCAGGCAATCCACTCACCTCAGCCTCCCAAAGGCATGGGATTACAGGCTGAGCCACCGAGCCCGGCTTACATTTCTTAAGAGTGTGTCAAAGATACCCCAAAGCATTTTTTAGCACTGAACCATTTCTCTTACCCTTTTAAAACCAAAAAATGTACTATGGCTGCACAATGATTACACTATGTTTTCTCAAAGGAGTATGCCTCAGAGACTAGCCATTGTCCAAAAACACGAGTCTCTGGTCCCATTGACTAAATAAACTGCATATTATTCTTCATTTGGGGACCTCTGTAGTCTAGTCCCTTGCCATCATGTGGCCTTACTTCTCCAAGCTCATTGACATGAAAGTTCTAACTAGGGATCCCAACAGTGATTATCAAAGAAAAAAAGGTTATGTTTTTTTCTTTAATGAAACAGGATGGCTTTGGACTTGGAGCCAGAATAAGGATAGACATATAACCCTGGAACCCAGCCTAAAATCACTAAGGATCAGTTATCTCAAAAGTAGGATGAAGAACAAGGTTATATCAACTGGGAAATGCTCTGAGTTTCAGGGAAATAGGGAGGAAGGGAGAATGAGGCTGGAGGCAAATCCTGGTGTGGTGGATGCAACAAGGCCAGGGAGTCTTCAATAACCTGCTGGATCACAGAGACCTTGTGAACCCTGGTAGGTACCAGGTCTCCAAACTTTTATTTCAATTGTGCTATCAGAGTGTCATAATAATAGTTAATTAATAAAGTTGTTTTGATACCTGAACAAGAGGAGACTATTGCTCTGAACCCCAGAAGTAAACACCCGTTACTTGGCTCTCTTCCTGTCATTGCCTCAGAGATATTGTACCAAAAAAATGAACCAATTTCCTTTCTCTATATCACACTCTTGCAGCCCTTACATATCAAATTCAAATGTTCTATGTGTAATATCCCCAGACTGCCTTGGCCTCTTCGCCAGGCTCCTTCTCTTGAGAGATGATTCACAATCGGTGACCACTCCCCAGGCACAAGGTGTGACCAAGAGCCTGCTGCTAGGAGACAGAATGGCATGTGGATGTGTGTGAAGTGTCTGTGTATGTGTGCCAGAGACCTTGTGTGGTGTGGTACAGAGCATGAGAAGAGGGTATGGCAATGAGAGCCTGATAGTGAGCCCAGATCAGGACCTGCTGTCCCAGCACTACCAGGTTGTGATACAGATCCCAGAGGAGTGAAAAATTCTAAATTCATACATGGACCTTTAGAAATTCATCTGCAGCCAAAATAAATTGGCAGGGTTCATATTTACCCCTCTGTCTGAACTAACTAAATTACAACATAAAACCAATGAAACAATTATTTTCAAGTCACTGGATAGTAGAAACCAAGAACATAGATTCCAGAAAAGTATAAACCAAAAGAGGGGAGATTTAATTGATTGATCTGAAACCCTGAGGGGAGTTTCCAGACCATTGTGCAGAGAAAGGAAGTCCACAGGGAGCCCCATAGAATCCTCAAATTGGGGAGAAGCGGGCAGTTCAAAAGGATAAAGACAGAAACAAAGGAAGGAGCTGCATGGAAAGAGAGTCCATAGAAGTTTTCCCTCAGTATTCGACAGAGCACTGATCCATACATGCATGTGGGGAACCTACCCAAGGCTAAAGAAATAATAGCTTGAAGGATTAGAGAATGATTCCGTAGTTTTCTGTTTTTGTACAAGAAAACACAGCTGGGTGAGATCACAATGGTTCAACTAAGCTCATTCCTTGTGGGCTTTTGATGACACTTGAAGTTGTCGGTGTAGGTCTCCTCTGTCAGGTCCACTAAGAAATTATTGTAATTAACAACAAAACTGAGGCGAAAGGATCGTTGGCACCCAGCAGGCGAGGCTGCGGTGGCCGGGAGCGGCCACTGCACTCCAGTCTGGGCGACAG